TGTAAGACATGCTGGCTTCCCCTTCTTGCTTCCACCATGGCTGTATGTTTCCTGAGGCCTCCCTAGAAGCGAAGCAGATGCCAGAATCATATAGCTTGTAGAACCATAAGCCAATTAAACCTCTTTTCCTTATAAATTATCCAGTCTCAGCTATTTCTTTACAGCAATGTGAGAACAAATTAATACAGTTAGAAAAGGCAATACAGGCTGTGCACAATGGCTCACGCCTGTAATCCCAGCACTTTGGGAGGCAAAGGTTGGTGGATCATGAGGTCAGGAGATTGAGACCATCCTGGCTAACATGGTGAAACCCCGTCTCTACTAAAATACAAAAAATTAACCAGGCATGGTGGTGCGTGTCTGTAATCCCAGCTACTTGGGAGGCTGAGATACTTGAATCTCTTGAACCCAGGAGGTGGAGGTTACAGTGAGCCGAGATCGCACCACTGCACTTCAGCCTGGCAACACAGCAAGACTCCATCTCAAAAAAAAAAAAGGAAAAAGAAAACACAATAGAGCTTCCACCTGGCTCTCTTTCTTGGGACCTTCACCTTAGTACCCAGTCACCACGCTGTGAGAAAGTCACAGAGCCACATGGAAAGGCCATTTGTAAGTATTCTGGTCACAGAGACAGCAAAAGTCCCAGAAAACAGGTATTTACCAACAGCCAGTCAAAGAGTGAAGGTGATATAGTTTGGATTTGTGTCCCCTTCCAAATCCCATATCCAGTGTTAATCCCCAATGCTGGAGGAGGGGCTTCATGGGAGGTGATTGGATCATGGGGCAGACTTCCCCATTGCTATTCTTGTGTGAGTGAGTTCTCACAAGGTCTGGTTGTTTAAAAGTGTGTAGCACCTCCTCCTTCACTCTCGTCTTCCTGCTCCAGCCATGTAGGATGTACCTGCTTCCCCCTCGCCTTCTGACATGATTGTGTTTTCTTTAAGGCCTCCCCAGCCAAGCTTCTTGTACAGCCTGCAAAACTGTGAGCCAATTAAACCTCTTTTCTTTATATATTACCCAGTCTCAGGTAGTTCCTATGGCAATGAAAGAACAAACTAATACAGAAGGAAACTTTGGCTTCCAGGCTCCCAGCCTTCAAGCTATTTCAGCCTTGCCTAAATTTCAAATTCATCAGTAAAATAAACATTGCTATTTTAAGCCACTACCTTGTGGGATGATTTGTGATGCAGGTATATTTAACTGGAATACACATCACGTGTGCTCACTGTGAAAATTCGTTGAGCTGTTTAATCACAATATATACACTTTTCCTTAGGTATATTATAATTAGGTTTGAGTAAAGATTTGAAATTAAAATCATGTCATGGAAATAAGCTCATATTTATCAAGTTTTATATGGATTTTATTGGGAAGTTTTATATAAATTCAGCATTTCATATCATTCCTAATACTTTGCTTGTTCTTACAATGACATAAAGAAAATGTAATAATTTTTTTTGCCACACCTCATATAGACGCTTTCTCATACCCATCAATTTACCCTCACACATTGCCTAATTCTCATCATTTACCATGCATTGATTTTTTTAAAGTTCGGACACACTGCTCTAGCAGACATCTCCCTAGCACTATTTCTTCTTCTGTTAACAGGCCCTCGTTTTCCTTTGGGAAACTACCTCCCCACTTATCAATCAAGGTCTTGTCTTTTGTCTTCTCCTGTCTTTTCTACTTTTTTCTTTGAGACAGTCTCATTCTGTTGCCCAAGCTGGAGTGCAGTAGCATGATTAAAGCTTACTGTAGCTTTGACCTCCTGGTCTCAAGCAATCCACCCACCTTAGCCCTGAAGGTGCTGGAACCACAGGCACATGCCATCACACCCAGCTAATATTTTTGATTTTTAGTAGAAATGAGGTCTCACACAGGCTGGTCTATACGTCCTGGGCTCAAGCAATCCTCTTGCCTCAGCCTCCCAAATTGCTATGATTACAGGCATGAGCCAGCATGCCTAGCCATTTTTTCTTTTCTTCAATTTTCTTTAAATTAATTCTATTATATCTCACATCCTTCCAATAAATTTTAGCTTTCTTGAATTTTATTATATCTCCCCTCCTTCTGATAAATTTCCTATTTAAATTAACAAAATTTGGTCTCTAGTCCTTGCAACCAAAGAATACTTATTGATACAGATCTCCAAACGCTAGCATACTGTCTGACATATGGTTGATGAATGACAATAAGAAAAGTGTTTATAAAATGGTATTGGGCAACTAATTTTTGACAAAAGCACAAAAGCAATCAAGTGGAAAAAGTAAAGGCTTTTAAAAAAAAATTGCTCCAATGATTGGGAATCCATACAACAAATATGAACTTGGATACATGCCTCAAACTATATAAGAAAGTTAACTAAAATGCATCATAGATCTAAAAGTACAGCCTGAAAAATGTAAAAATTTTATAAAAAAAACATAAGAAAATTTCTTTGTGAGCTTGGGGTGGGCAAAAATGTCTTAGAAATAACACTAAAAATGCAATCTGTAAAAAAATAAATACATGAAACTTTATTAAAAGTTAAAACCTCTCTTCAAAATATACTGTTCAGAGAATGAGGGCCAGGTGCGGTGGCTGAAGCCTGTAATCCCAGCACTTTGGGAGGCTGAGGTGGGCAGATCACCTGAGGCCAGAAGTTCAAGACCAGCCTGGCCAATATGGTGAAACTCGGCATCTACTAAAAATACAAAAATTAGGTTGGGCATGGTGGCTCACACCTGTAATCCCAGCACTTTGGGAGGCCGAGGTGGGTGGATCACCTGAGGTCAGGAGTTTGAGAGTAGCCTGGCCAACAAAGTAAAACACCGTTTCTACTAAAAATACAAAAATTGGCCTGGTATGGTGGCACACACCTGTAGTCCCAGCTACTCGGGAGGCTGAGGCAGGAGAATCACTTAAACCTGGGGAGGTGGAGGTTGCAGTGAGTCAAGATCATGCCACTGCACTCCAGTCTGGGCAATACAGCAACACTTCGTCTCAAAAAAAAAAAAAAAAAAAAATTAGCCAGGTATACTGATCTGTAATCCCAGCTACTTGGGAGGCTGAGATACCAGAATATCTTGAACCCAGGAGGCAGAGGTTGCAGTGAACCGAGACCTCACCATTGCACTCCAACATGGGTGACAGATCAGGATTCTGTCTCAAAAAAAAAAAAAAAGGTGGGGTTTGGGGGGGCGTTAGGTAAGCAGAAACTTAAGGGTGATGGGCATACTCATTTGATCATAGTGATGGTTTCAAGGGGGTATACATATGTCAAAACTGATAAAAATTATACACTGTAAATATTGCCCCGTGGGTTCAGCGGGATTGGGCCTGGGCACTGGAGCTGCTGTGGCTCCCACCACGGCGGGTACCATGGAGGCTGTGCCAGAGACCAGAACTCAGCCACGGGAGGCAGAGTTTAATTTTTAGTTAATTCTATGCTAATTATACTTCAATAAAGCTATCTTTAAAAACCCTGCAACTCACATGTCAGATTTGGAAGAGGATGGAAAAGATGCAGAATGAAAATTTCAATTAAAAGCCTCAGTGAAGTTTGTGAATTATCCAAGTATTCAAGGAATTCATGCTTCCTCCAGCTAGCGAAGACTCAGAGTTTAATGAGCAATCTCAATACTATTCTTCCAGAAATGGTATCATCTACCATATTATGGCTGTTTTCAGGAAGACAATGACCTAATCAGTATAAAATGAACTCCATGTCTTGTAAGAGATTTATAATTAAACACATAATTCACATTTGCAAACATTTTTAAAGGGCTTTTCTACCTGTAGGATAGGCTTAATATTGAGAGTGAACTTTTTGCAAGTGACCTCCAACACACTAGTTTAATCTCTAAGAGCCTCAGTTTCCTCATCTATAAAATACCGTAAGAAATAAGAAAATCCGGGAAACTAAAAAGAACAGGCTTTGCCAGAACTATTAATTCTTTTTTGGGTAGAACTAAAACTCAAGACATAGTTGTCTCTCTTCCATTTCTAGACTTTTTTAGAGAGATCCATGAGGAAGTTCCCCTCCATAGCTTTGTCCAAGCATGACACTGGTCAAAAAGGTATCCAGCCTCCCCCAAGCTCAGCCTGTAACCAAGAACCACACTGATCTATTAGGATGGCCTTGAGCGCTCTCATCAGCCCTCATGTGTTCTGAAGGTTAGAGCTAACTTTCCAGACCCTCATTATTTGTTGAAAGTCTGGATGGGGAAAATCTCAACCAGATCTCCATGCCTACTTGGAAGTAGAGGTAGTTTTGCAGGGTGGCCTGTGTTCTCCAGATGCAGAGCTATATGGGGCCTTGCTTCTTTATGGGAGATGCAAAACCTAGGCCCTAATGAACAGAAATAGTATTTGAGCCCCCAAAACAGCATTAAGTTGTTCTAATTTTAATTTCCAGCTCTGTCACTTGCTGTGTGGGACCTTATTATTTCCAAAACCCAATTTTTCAACTTTACAATGGAATTAAAGCAATCTAACTTTTAAAAATGGGTTAACTTCCACTGTAAATTACAGTATATTGGACAATAATTAACTTGAATACTAAAGCTGGCATTTAACAGGAATTCAACTGTTTGCTAAGTATATACTTAAAAGCTTTTAAAACTGTAATTTACTAAGAAAACAAAGCTTTCTTTCTGGGTTAAGAATTTGAGAAAACGAGACCCAGAAGCAAACTAAAATCAAGTCCTAAAATGGTACAAACCTCAAAAGGCTCATCAGGTTTGCCAGTAAAGCTCCGTCTCCGTGCAAACCCTGCCCACTTCCGGCTTCCCCACCCACCTCCTAACACTGGAACAGCGCCCCTCTCTGCCAGGTCCCGCCCCTACACCTGATCCTGGCTCCCATTGGGCGAATGTGGATGCTGTATACACACCGACACACGCACGTTAGGCTGGGCCTCTTCGCGCCTGCGCAGCAGCGCTGTCAGGCGGCTGGAAACGGGGGGTTTGAGGGAGGGGGGCGGAGGTCATGCCGAATCTTCCTCCGTAATAAGAAGCGACGTGTCCCGCTGTCCTGGCTCCGTGGGTCCAGCGGGATTGGGCCTGGGCGCTGGAACTGCCGGGGCTCCCACCACGGCGGGTACCATGGAGGCCGTGCCAGAGACCAGAACTCAGCCACGGGAGGCCGAGACAGCCGGCGGTGCTCGTAGATGAGGCGGCGGCGGCGGCGGTGGCAGCAGCCCGGGCTCTCCATGAGCAAGCGGCGGCGGCGACGGGTGCGGCGGCACCGGCGGTTTTCGGTCCCCGGGGAGGTACGAGGAGTTGGCTTCCTGGTGGACGGAGACTGGCCCGTGTGGGAACGCTCCGCGGCCCGGCCCTCCAGCCCATTTGCCCGCAGTCCTGGGCACTCTGCGGGGCACTACCCTGACAGAGGCGGGGGCGCCCAGACGACTCGCGGGCCCCTGACTCGGGGACCCGTCCGCCTCCAGTGCCAGGCCTTCCGGGCGCGGCCGCCCAGGGCCAGGGTGGGCGTGTCCGAAGCGCGGGGGCTCCCCGGGGGCGCACGCCTAGCGCCCGCCTGGTCCCAGTCCCGAAGCCCCGCGCTGCTGGGAGCGGGAGCGCGGGGCTGTTTTTTAGAGGTGTATTTCGGACGCTGATTTGAGGGGATCTTTAGAACCCGTGAATCCTTAGGGAGTCCTGTGTTCAATGCCTTGGGCAGGTGGTGGGGTCCTCACGGCCAGCTTGGGGTACCGATTGCCTCCATTAGAAGTCACTAAGAAAGAAAGATGTTTGCCAGAGAAACAGAGGTCAGTTTTCCAAGTTTATTCAAATTGGAGGTCCTGTTGAGTCTGGAAAATAAAGCCACTAGAATAATCCTCTAGTCCTAACAATACAGATCCTAGCTAAACAACCAAGACAAATTTAAGTAAAGCTTGTTACAGCTATCTTTCAATTATTTCTCCCCACCCCACTCCCATTTTTATTGCAATTTACTTTGGAACAAATCACCAAGTTCATGCTGAAACTAGTATCCTCTAGTTCTTCCAAATTTTCCCTCCTCCTGTTTTTCCCAGAGAAAGACTAAAGTAAGTTGCCATATATATCATTATAGTTTAATTCTCTTAGAGTGTGACTGTTGCTTTACAGAGCTAGTTACACTTCATTTGGTCATGTCTAAAGATAATTTGAAGAGAGTATCTTAGAGATTTATGCTTCCTTTCCAATGCAATATTTTAGGAATGTGACCTCAGGCTCTTAAATCAATCTTAAACCTTGCTACAGAGTTCTTTTAAAGTTAATGGAAATAAACCATAAAGTTATTTTCGTTTTTAAAGTATTTGAATGCCTAATCGTTTTTTGTTTTTTAATTTTTGTTAGCAAAACATTGTCAGTTTCTATTAAGAAACTGAGTTTCTGTTTTCCTAGGTTACAGATTTGCCACATCCTCTTATTCCAAAGTGGTTGACTAAAATCAACATGTTGGCCAAGTAGATATAAACATCCACACTTCATACTAAATATAGTTACTGGATATTTTAGAGTGCACAGTATCTTGCTTCAAGCTGAAAATAGTGTGTTCATGTGTGTTTAATATATTGCAGAAGTGAAATTATACTCGTGTTGCAGAATGTTTTGGACTTAGTTTCTTTATGCAAATAAAACACATAGGACTGCAGCATTACTATTTTTTTTTAATTGCATTTTAGGTTTGGGGGTACATGTGAAGAACATGCAAGATTGTTGCATAGGTACACACATGGCAGCATGATTTGCTGCCTTCCTCCCCTTCACCTATATCTGGTATTTCTCCCCATGCTCTCTCTCCCCAAATCCCCACCCCCCCCCCCCCGCTGTCCCTCCCCTATATCCCCCCAACAGACCCCAGTGTGTGATGCTCCCCTCCCTGTGTCCATGTGTTCTCATCGTTCAACACCCGCCTATGAGTGAGAACATGCGGTGTTTGATTTTCTGCTCTTGTGTCAGTTTGCTGAGAATGAGAATGATGGTTTCCAGGTTCATCCATGTCTCCCTACAAAGGACACAAACTCATCGTTTTTTATGGCTGCATAATATTCCATGGTGTATATGTGCCACATTTTCCCTGTCCAGTCTATCATCGATGGGCATTTGGGTTGGTTCCAGGTCTTTGCTATTATAAACAGTGCTGCAGTGAACATTCGTGTGCATGTAGGACTGCAGCATTAAGGGTTGAGTTCATGTTCTGTTCGGGAGGATGCAGCACTTGAAAAGATGGTCGAAACAAGACACTGATCTCAGTCACTCATTTCTCTGTTTGCCTTCCTCAGATGCATTTTTTCATAACATAACTTCTCTATAAAAGTAATGTTGGAAAACAATATGATGTTTTGAGTTTATTTGCTTGTCCCCAGTGCGGTGAAGCAATTTTTCAATACAATTGCAAAAAGAACTCATTTCTTTCAAAAATGTGTGTGCTATGTAACATACATATAACACAACATATTTATTAAAATACTCTCCATGGCTTTAAAAACAAAGTGCCTAGGAGTCCTCAAGGTTGGGGGAAGAGTGCCAGTTTCAAAAGGGAAGATGCTTTGGTTCATTCTCAAAATATGCATAGGGAATAATCAGGATATTTATCAAGTTCTGAATCAGATAGTATAGCCTCTGTAGTTAAAACTTATAAATTGCACAATTAATAGCACAATTCTGAGTTGCAAATAAAACTCCCAAAGAGAATAGCAATATTAGCTATGCTACTATTCACTTAAGATTTCATGATTACTCCTCACGCTGTCTTTCGAAGGTAAATGTCAGAATTAGTCTTAGCCTATATAGCAACAGGAGTTTTTTTTTTAACACAGTTTTTCTATATAACAGATAAAATATGTAGTGTAGTTAATATGAAGGTTACAGAATGGCTATAATTCTGTACCCCCCAATTAAGAATCCCATTATAAATTTCTTAAGTGGAACCACCCATATTAACAAGAAAATGAAGCACACCCTATATTTTGAAAGGAGGAGGTTTACATCAGGAATATACCTAACCAAATTTAGTTTATGTTTTTAGTATCTTTATTTTCATTTAGGATTTTTTCATTACAGGGTTTTCCTCTATCACAGATAAAATCTGCAATGTAGTTAATATAAAGCCTATGAAATGGCCATCTGTGTCTCAAAAAAGACTGCAATTTCCTAAATGGCCTTTCCAGAAAGCATGCACAGTGGCTGAAAAGTGGCTCATTTAAATTTTTTTGCTATGTTGAGAAGCCTAATAACTGCATTTGATTTGAGTCTTTACATATATTTATTTTCATTTAAATATATTATGCTTTTAATATACAAAGTCACAAGTTTATGTGTTCTGTTTTAAACTTTAAAATGTAGGATGAAGACACTGTTTGAAGAGATCAAAGCATCAATTAAAAATAACTATAACCAAGATCGATCATTTTGGAGGCCTGTTCTTCCTTGGGGAGGTGTTTTTACTATAAAAGCTGGCCGCAAAGCAGTATCCTGTACACCACTCTATGTTGAAATAAGACTGAAAAATACCTGCACCATAGATGGATTCTTGATGTTATTATATGTCATTCTTAATGAAAATGAAAATTTCCCCAGAGAACTCTCTCTTCATTTTGGTAGAGAGTTTGTAGACTGTTTTCTTTATTTAATGGACACCTACAGTTTTACAACTGTGAAGCTACTTTGGATTTGGGACAAGATGGAAAAACAGCAATACAAATCTGAAGTTCATAAAGCTTCATTAATAATTGATTTGTTTGGGAATGAGCATGATAATTTTACAAAAAATCTTGAAAATCTCATGTCTACCATTCAAGAGAGTTACTGTTCCAACTGGCGATGCCCAACTCGAGTGCAGGAAGATCAGCAGCGCACAATTAATATAAAGTAAGTTAGTCTAATGGCTGTTTTGTCACTTTTACTTTATTTTAATGAATGTTGCTTTAGATATGTAATTGTGTACCCCATAATGACATTTGGGCCAACAGAGGACCACATATGCCATGCTGTTTTCTAAGATACTATATGTTTATTATACCCTTCTATGTTTAGGTACACAAAGACTTACCATTTTGTTAAATTACCTACAATATTAAGTATAGTAACATGCTGCACAGATTTGTAACCTAGGAGCAATAGGCTTTACCATATAGCCTAGGAGTGTAAAAGGTTATACCATCTAGGTTTATGTAAGCACACTCTATGATGTTTACACACTATGAAATCATCTAAGGATACATTTCTCAAAATATGTCCCCATTGGATGACAAATGACAGTATTGCCAAAGTACTTGTTAAAGTACAGAGCCTTTGTAATTACTTACGCATGAAGCAATCACACAAATGCAAGATTCTTCTGCAGGTCCCCTAAAAACAGTGTTGCAGCCTATTACCTCCAAACATCTTAGAATTACTTTACAAAACCAACTGATAACCTTGTCAGTAGCAAAGTAATGAATTACTTCATATGAAAAATGTATTACTCTTACTTGAGTTTACTAAAATGACTATAGATGATTCTTAGTGTCACAAATTTAACCTCTTTATGAGCATTTAATACTGTTTTGGAATGTTTCACCCTTTGAATAGGTCTCTGTCAAAAGGGCTAGTTCCACGTGAATAAGAAAATTTAAAGTCTTCTTTCTTATCATGGCCAAGACATAATTATAGACAGAAACCTAGAACTTGGCATCTCATATGTAGACGTGGATGTAAGCAGCTTTTATTTTGACTAGGAAAGGTGCAAAGACCCAGATGAGTGTTTTTGGCTTTCAGAGAAAAGGCACATCTCCAGCTCAGTAAATGATAGGGACAGAATCCAAACTGGCAAGGCCTAGTGGAGTGTTGGGAAACATTAAAGCCTCCAAGGGACATGAGCTGGAAAGGGGATAATTGCCAGTGGAAGAAAAACAGACCCAAACACATTGTTGGCAGAAAGGTATCTGGCCCCATGGTCCAGAAAAACAGCCTGGTAGATTGTTCCCATTTGGAAATGTACATTACATACCCTAATTCATTAAACTCACTTTTCTCTGAAATATACTTTGTCTATTTTCCTGTATTGCTAATTTGAAATATCTATCAACGGAAATGATTTTCAAGTCATAAAGACAACTCAGAAGTGTTGCAATTATCACAGCTCACTGCAGCCTTGAACTCCAGAGCTCAGGTGATCCTCCTACCTCATACCTCACTGCCTCAGCCTTTCCAGTAGCTGGGACTACAGACATATGCCACCATGCCCAGCTAACTTATTTTTTTTATTTTTTGAGACAGAGTCTCACTCCATCTTCCAGGCTGAAGTGTAGTGGAGTGTTCACAGATCACTGCAATGTCGACTTCCTGGGTTCAAGTCATCCTCCTGTCTCAAGTAGCTGGGACTAGAGGCATGCACCACCATGGCCAGCTAATTTTTGTGTTTTTTGTAGAAATGGGGTCTTGCTTTGTTGCCCAGGTCAGTCTCAAACTCCTGATTCACCTGCCTCACCTTCCCAAAGTACTGGGATTATAGGCGTGAGCCACACACCCGTCCTAATACCTTGTTTTTTAAAAACTAGTTCCTTTTCATCTGTAAATGTTTTGAAACTATAATGAAATATTTATAATTCTATATTATATTTTATACTATTTAATAAAATATTTTTCATCGTACTCTATAACTTTTTAATTTCTGCCTACTTTTTTTTAAATTCTATATTTAAAACAACCTCTGAAGTAATGTAGGAAATAAAATTTTTTAACAGATCTGGTACCTGAGGCCAAGAATGATTATTACTTACATTTAGTCAGGTAACTAGTCAACTGCTCTCCTGATTCTGGGTCCTAGTTCCTTCCACCAGACCAGATTGCCTCCTTTGAATCCTCTCACAAATGTTTTAGATCAGGCGTCACCAAACTTTTTACACAGGGGGCCAGTTCACTGTCCCTCAGACCGTTGGAGGGCCGCCACATACTGTACTCCTCTCACTGACCACCAGTGAAAGAGGTGCCCCTTCCTGAAGTGCGGCGGGGGGCCGGATAAATGGCCTCAGGGGGCCGCAGCCTGTTTTAGATTAACATAGCAGCAACTGGATATATCAGGATTGTTTATAGAAGAATGTTTCTTAGGCGCCGGGCGCAGTGGCTCAAGCCTGTAATCCCAGCACTTTGGGAGGCCGAGGCGGGTGGATCACGAGGTCGAGAGATCGAGACCATCCTGGTCAACATGGTGAAACCCCGTCTCTACTAAAAGTGCAAAAAATTAGCTGGGCATGGTGGCGCGTGCCTGTAATCCCAGCTACTCAGGAGGCTGAGGCAGGAGAATTGCCTGAGCCCAGGAGGTGGAGGTTGCGGTGAGCCGAGATCGCGCCATTGCACTCCAGCCTGGGTAACAAGGGCGAAACTCCGTCTCAAAAAAAAAAAAAAAAAAGGAATGTTTCTTAGAAAATTTCATACATTAGTGTTTATTGAGTTCAACTGATTTCTATACTGTCTGGAAGAAATTCCAAAATGTATAATAGAGGCTGTACTTGGGATAATTGGTTTTGCTAATAATGGCTTGAGCTGTAAAGTGGGTTATAATAATATATTAAGATGTAAAATGTTGGAGCAGCTCTTACATGTATTTTATAATTATTATAGTCCTCCTCAAGAAATTCCACATGGAAACTTGATAAGACTGGCTGTGGATGAATTATTCTGTTCCAAGATTGAACTGTGTGAAGAGCATGGGTAAGTAGATGACAGACGTTTAAAATGACAGTATGTGTGTGTTTATAAGGAAACCTGGGCAGATGTGCTCCTTGAAGTACTTTATGGATCTTATTAACAAACCTAGATTACTGTGACATTTTATAGTGTTTTTATTATGGAGTATCACTACATAGAATATGGTACTACCACTGATTGATTAATACAAAACAAATACCTTTTCTTTTTTTTCCCTTACTGCTGAGTAGGTACAATAAAACCTTGGTTAACCGGAACCCAGCTAATCGGGACCCTCAGTTATCTGGATTTTTTTCTGCACTCCTCATTTAGGAGAAAGAGGTAAATGACAACTAAAAAACTTAACCTAGTAAAAAAATTCAGAGAAGCAGAGCATATTCATCCCAATCTCTTAACAATTTCTGTGAGTACATTATTGTATAATGAGAATTAATATTTAGAAGGATGATCTTACAGCTAGTTAATTACAAAAGAAGATAAAAGTATGTTCTGTTAATTGTGCCTATTAAGTCCAGAAAGTGAACTAATATATTGTAGCAACAAATACTGAAACAGATGGTTTTCTGGTTAATTTGGTTTAGTTAATAATGTCTGTTAACCAGAATACTGTACCCTGAGCATTCCGGTTAATCAAGATTTTATTGTATAATTGAATTTGTTATATTCTGATCCATATACGTAATACCTCATAATATGAGGAAGCAGAATTTGTTCATGCTTGTAAAAGAGTCTAATGACGGGGAAGTGGGCAGGGAAAAAAAAGTCTAATGACAAAAGGAAGCAATTAGAGTCATATTATTTACCCTCTCTGCCATTATTTGAAACCAGCATAGAGAGAGAAATATAAAAGCATTCCTATCAGTTCTGTATAGTTACGCTTTCATAAACTTATATAGAAATAGCTAGCATTTCCTGGAGTTTTAATATATCATTTCTAGTATAAGGAACACAGCTTATAAACTTCTAGAGCTATTAGGTGATTATAAGGTACTAATATAGCCATACCATTACCTATACCTATAATAGATAATTATAAGAAAATTAAAGTCATAAAGACAACTCAGAAGTGTTGAAAGGCAACTTTGTCCCAAGTATAATAATGTTCATGCCTGTTTTCTATTTTAGTTGTGGTGGCTTAAGAGAATTTTCCCAACGAATTTTCTGCCATGGGGCACCTCCTTTTGTTGTCTTAAATATGCAGCACTGGAAATCTGAAGATCTGGCATATGTACCCTATTACTTGGATTTGTCTGACCACAAGTAGGTGTTTTTTTGGTTGTTCTTTATAAAACTAATTTAAAAATTTATCCTATTATGAATCATAATAGGATAAAAATTTATCCTGTTGTGAAAATTTATCCCATTATTCTATTATGATTTTGGCTAGCCCTTAAGAGATGTTGTTGAGGCTGGGCATGATGATTCACACCTGTAATCGAAGCATTTTGGGATGCTGAGGTGGGCAGAGCACAAGGTCAGGAGTTCAAGACCAGCCTCACCAACATAGTGAAACCCGAACTCTACTAAAAATACAAAAATTAGCCAGGCGGGCTAGCACACACCTGTAGTCCCAGCTACTCAGAAGGCTGAGGCAGGAGAATTGCTTGAACCCGGGAGGTGGAGGTTGTGGTGAGCTGAGATTGCACCATTGCAATCCAGCCTGAGCAACAAGAACAAAACTCCATCTCAAAAATATGTGTGTGTGTGTGTGTGTGTGTGTGTGTGTGTGTGTGTGTGTAGTTGAAAACAATCATATCTGTCTCTAAATTTACATATTCTGAATAGAATCAGAGTCTATTACAGGTAGTCAGTTACTAGCAGTGCACATAGTGGGCAGGTATGTGGACTATAGAATAGACAGAATTGGGTTCAAATCCTAGCCCCATCTTTTATAAGTTTACCTTGGGCCAGCAACTTAACCAGGCTACATGACATTTTTCTTATCTATAAAACAGAGATGATGGTATCAACCTAGTGCAATTATTGTAAAGGTTTCATACATAGTAAGCATTTAAGATAGTGCCTGATACATAATACTGGATAGTATAATAATACCACAGTATTTTGTTCCTGACACATACTGGCTAATACTTGTATTTAAAGTCAAAGAAGTGTGTAGTAGTATGCAGGTGATCATCATTTAAACATAAAATGTTACTTATCAATATAAATAAAAATATCTGCATACATATCAGGAAATAAAGGTTTCTTTTAACATTTTCCCTTTAAAAGTTTTCTTGGCCGGGCGCGGTGGCTCAAGCCTGTAATCCCAGCACTTTGGGAGGCCAAGGCGGGTGGATCACAAAGTCAAGAGATCGAGACCATCCTGGTCAGCATGGTGAAACCCCGTCTCTACTAAAAATACAAAAAATTAGCTGGGCATGGTGGTGCGTGCCTGTAATCCCAGCTACTCAGGAGGCTGAGGCAGGAGAATTGCTTGAACCCAGGAGGCGGAAGTTGCGGTGAGCCAAGATCGCGCCATTGCACTCCAGCCTGGGTAACAAGAGTGAAACTCTGTCTCAAAAAAAAAAAAAAAGTTTTCTTATGTACATATTTACTCTTTTTTAAAAGAATCATGCAGGTTATAAGTTCATCTGTTAAAATATGTTTTTAAAAAATTCTGGCCAGGCATGGTGGCTCACGCCTGTAATCCCAGCACTTTGGAAGGCTGAGGTGGGCAGATCATGAAGTCAGGAGATTGAGATCATGCTGACCCACATGGTGAAACCCCGTATCCACTAAAAATACAAAAAATTAGCCGGGCACGGTGACACACGCCTGTAGTCCCAGCTACTCAGGAGGCTGAGGCAGGAGGATCGCTTGAACCAGGAAGACAGAGGTTGCAGTGAGCCAAGATGGCACCACTACACTCCAGGCTGGGCAATAGAGTGAGACTCCATCTCAAAAAAAAAAAAAAAAGAAGTTCATAATTTTCACATTTCCAATTATATTACATGATTTATAGAGATGGGTATCTTTTTCAGGTAACAGAATACAATGTCAATTTTACTCCTTAGTTAAGAATTTAAGGGCTGTTTATCTTAAAAACAAAGTATTATAACTTTCTCCTATACTGTGTTATTTAATTTACAGGTATTTATTGGAAGGTGCCACATTATTTAACAAAGAGGAACATCATTATTCTGCAGCTTTCCAGATTGATGGACATTGGATGCACTATGATGGGCTCAGAAATGTGAATTTAATTTTGTTGAATAAACCCCCAGAGTTTCTTCTCTTGTCATCATTGGTTTATATTCGAGCAACAGAGAAATAAATATAGACTGATGCTAAAAGTTGTTTTCCCTCCTGCCCATGCTCCCCCAGATGAAGGGCTTCTTTTTGTGTATTCTTGGTATCCAAGGAAACAGTTCAACTATACTAGTTTCAGAGGTCTATTTTCAAAAGTGTTTAATCCCAGATAAATGTTTTATATAGAGGATCTATGCAAAAATGTTTGTATTTCTTTTTTTTATATTTCTGAGTTATTTTTATATGAACATATTTTATGTTAAAATAAAATATATCTTGTGGCCTTTGTATTTTTTATTTATATGTACCTCAAAGATTTTTACAATTCCGTCCTTGAATTCAAGAAATATTATGTCATCTGAATTTGAAATTTTTCTTTTTGGATATCCAAGTAAAACCTAGGTAAAAGTCAGTATTTCAGTTTATATAATTTAATAGTTCAAAATATAGCTAACTATATTTCTTGGCCCTACCTCACTTTAATCCAAAGTGCACTATTTGATCTAGTGTGGATTTGAATGTACAATTTATGGATGGCTTAGTTTATTAATTTGATTTGCCCAATATTCCTGCAGCAATTTTTTAAAAATGTATGAGAAATTTTTTTGAGCTTAACCTGTTTCTTTATAATGGCAAATTACTTTACTTCCTAAAGTATTATAAACCTACCAGTGGATTTTAAGCGATAGCTAAGTTTCCAAGATTAATTCAAGTTATTACAAACAGATTATATAACTATCCTAAATGTTTATCTTAAATGTAATGTGAAATGCTCTAATATATTTTGCAGATAAAACAACTGTAAATGGTATTAGGCAACTGGATATTCACTAGTGTTGGACTAACAATAGAAATGCACTTTAAATACATATTTAAGAGGAAATGGATGCCTGGAAGTATTTCTTTTCCTAGTGAAGTTTTATATTGACACAGAGAAAAGAATACTTAAATTTTTGGAGTGATGTCTGCTGGCTTCCTTATAAGTAGTGATTAATAGCATGAAGCTTTGATTTGCAATACAAATCATCAGGATTTTATAGTTATGAGTACATTATGTTTCTTTATAAAGACCTTAAGATCACTCTTCTTTTTACAACTTAAGGGAAAAATAAAGATTTTCAAGGGAAAATCTTTATTTTTGAAATTTATCACCACTTATTTTAGTGTTTACATTTTGAGATTAGTTGCAATATATTTGGAAACTTCTACATGACAGCACAGATCACTGCCATCTGCTGAATTGCTAAAGTGCTTGGTGCCATGTTCAGAAAACTTACCCAAGAATGAATGAATATGGGTGAAACATTACTGAGAATGCCTCACTTTAGCAAACACTATGAAAATTCTTTTTTATATATCAAAAGGATTTACAGAAAGAATTTTACCCCAAGATTTATTTAAATAGTTTCCCAAGTGTAACTGAATAGGATTTAATTTAGAGTAAACTTTTCTGGGGACACCTGATTGCATGAATTGAAGTATACAAAAACACAAATATTAGAGTAAATATAAATGATGTTATTAACAAAATTATTTCTAATGCAGATTTATTCTTTTCGGAATTGCACTTTATTTGGAATACTAGTTTATCATGAAACGGTGACTTACCTACCTCACAGGGTTGTTGTGAGGATTAATATGTTTGTTAAAATCTTGACTACCTTGAACATGCTAATAAACATTTTTCTACCTCCTTTATTTGCAGGCAAGACTCCCAGATTTTCTCTTTCTATGAACTTTGCAGAGTTTTAAAAATTATTTAGGCTGTAGCTCATATCACTAATTAGCATGTAATGGAAATTGAATATGCCTTCTTAACCCCGTGCTGGAGTTAAGGAGAACAGATAGTTTATTTTTATGGTAGCTGTTAGTTGATAGAAATAAGAAATCATCCCCTGCTGACCAAACAGTGAATAGAAAAAGAGTCAAAAAGAATTAACTAGATTATCTACTGAATGTAAAGGTGAAGGTATGGAAAATTCTTTGTAATTCTATAAACACCCTTAGGAAAATCAGAATAAGCTATTGGTGGGGGAGGAGCTAAAGATATGAGAGAATAGTTAGAATATATATACAAATATTTTTGAGACGGAGTCTCTGTCAACTCGGCTGAAGTGCAGTGGTTCGATCTTGGCTCACTGCAGCCTCTGCCTCCCGGATTCAAGCAATTCTCCCACCTCGGCCTCTCGAGTAGCCTGTATTACAGGCCCACAGCCAGGACGCCTGGCTAATTTTTGTATTTGGAGTAGAGAAGGGGTTTCACCATGTTGGCTGGCCTGGTCTGGAACTCCTGACCTTAGCTGATCCGCCCGCTTTGGCCTCCCAAAGTGTTGGTATTACAGGCGTGAGCCACCCTGCCCAGTCCTAGGATGTATTTTTAATCAAAATACCACAAACTAGTACTATACCTACGGGAACAGCAAAAATAATTTTAAAACCTTTTCTACAATCTGGCATAAAGAACAAAGAACATTTAAGGAGCTTTCAACTAGCTGCTTTTCAGCAAAAGAAACCATTTCTTCTCTAATTTCTGCAAATAATTTTACTGAGATTATTCCTTCAAAGTAGTTTATAATAATTTATAAATTATTAGAGTTTGTTTAAACTGTCACTAGATCTAATCCAACGGAAGAGTAAGATAAAGAATAACTGACTACCACAGGCATGCTTACTAGGGTAAGTCCCATGTTCTATTTCTTTCCGAAAGTATTAGCAAAAAACTATATAACCAGATGTCCACTATGACACATAAAGAGCTATACATGGCAGGACACGTGGCTCATGCCTATAATCCCAGCACTTTGGGAGGCTGAAGTGAGAGGATCACTTGAATTCAGGAGTTCCCTGGGCAACACAGGGAGACCCTGTCTCTCCTAAAAATACAAAAATCAGTCGGGTGTGGTGGTGTTCACCTGTTTCCTATAGTGCCAATTACTCAGGAAGCTGAGGTGGGAGGATGGCTTGAGCCTAAGAGGCGGAGGTTCCAGTGAGCAGAGATCACTGGCGCAGCCTGGGCAATGGAGCGAGACCTGTGTCCAAAATAAGAAAAAAATAAATAACTACATGTTGAGCATATGAAAAATTCAGTTTTATAATGATTGAGTGATGTTTAATTATTAGAAAATAATTGTAATGAACTATAAGGCAGAAAGGGTAAGTTCATGTAAAATGACTAATTAATGTTAATAAATGACAGCCAAAGCAAACATTTAAATTTTTAAATTTTTCTCCTTTTCCTTTGTCGATGCCCTAGCATTTACAATCAGCACCAAATTCTTCTGCCTTAAATTGGATTGCTTTAAAAGTTCATCTTATTGTCAGGCATGGCTCACCCCTGTAATCCCAGCAGGCAGATCACGAGGTCAGGAGTTTGGGAGGCCAAGGCAGGCAGATCACGAGGTCAGGAGTTCGAGACCAGCCAGACCAACATGGTGAAACGCTGTCCCTCCTAAAAATACAAAAATTCGTGGTGGCAGGCACCTGTAATCCCAGCGACTCGGAAGGCTAAGGCAGGAGAATCACTTGAACCCTGGAGGCAGAGGTTGCAGTGAGCTAAGATCGTACCACTGCACTCCAGCCTGGGTGACAGAGCAAGATTCCATTTCAAAAAAAAAAAAAGTTTATCTTACTGAGACATTTATACAAAGGTCTTAAATTCAGTGTCCTACTATTCAGTGGTTCCTACATCCTACCTTACTGGCCCAAACTTCACTCTGGTCACCTGGACAGCCTTCTTGCTGTGGTTTGAATGATGGTGTCCCTTTCAAAATTTACATTGAACTTAATCCCTGTGGTGGTAGTACTGAGAGCTGAAGGCTTTTGCGAGGTGATTAAGTCATGAGGGCTTTGCCCTTATGAGTGAGATGAGTTGCCCTTATAAATGGACTTATTTTTTTTTTTTTTTTTTGAGACAGGGTTTCACTGAGTCACCCAGGCTGGAGTGCCATGGTACAATCATGGCTCACTGCAGCCTCAACCTGCTGGGCTTAAGTTATCCTCCCATCTCAACCTCCCAAATTGCGTGCACCACCACACGTGGCTAATTTTTTTGTAGAGACAGGGTCTCTCTATGTTTCCCAGGCTGGTGTCAAACTGAGCTCAAGCAATCCTCCTGCCTCAGCCTCCCAAACTGCTGGGATTATAGACATGAGCCCAGTCAGAAATAAGCTTGAGAGACTGAATTTGGCCCTTCTGCTCTTCTGCCTCCAGAAGATGTGATGATGCAGCAAGAAAGCCCACATCAGATGCTGGCACCTCCATCTTAATTTTTCCAACTTCTAGAACTGTAAGAAATAAGTTTCTGTTCTCTATAAATTATGGAATCTCAGATGTTTTGTTATAGCAGCACAAATGGACTAAGACACTCCTTTAACCTCAAATTTAATTTGATCCTGGGGAGAAAACTGCCTTTTATTCTATCCCTTGGAAGTTGAGGAGAAGGAAGTTAGTAAAAAGCCATTTGTAGCTAGATAATTTATTTATAGGCTGAGGCTGTCCATTAGATTTACCCTCAAATGAGCAATCAGTTCCATAGTTCATCCACTGTTTTCTCAATAAGATCTTCTGCAAGGTATCAGAAGGAATATTGCTAAAAAACAAAAAGGTGAGCTGCTTTGGCAGGAACCTCAAAAGGATATGGAATGCAACAGGAGCTTTGAGAGCAAATTCACTGTCTAGACAAGTTAGCCATAGTAGAATCAGCAACTTGCTATTTATATATTTGGATGGATTTTCATTACTTGTTTTAACTTTGAATTTTATTTTATTTATTTATTTATTTATTTTTGAGATGGAATTTTGCTCTGTTGCCCAGGCTGGAGTACAGGGGCATGATCTTGGCTCACTGCAACCTCCGCCTCCCAGGTGCAACCAATTCTCCTGCCTCAGCATCCTAAATAGCTGGATTACAGGCATGTGCCACAAAGCCTGGCTAATTTTTGTATTTTTCATAGACACAGGGTTTCACCATGTTGGCCAGGCTGGTCTCGAATCCTGACCTCAGGTGAGCCACCTGCTTAGGCCTCCCAAAGTGCTGGGATTACAAGCGTGAGCCACTGTGCCCAGCCTTTCTTTGAATTTTATAAAGACTCATTTCATAATATGAATATAAAATGATATGTAAATCAGTAATACAAAAGAAGTTTGAAGAAGAAAATAAAGATCATCCATAACTTCTCCACCATCATTTCTTCCATCCATAATTTATACAATTATCATTGGATAATGCAATGATTGCCTCACATTGGTAAAGACTTTTTGGAAATGATGAGAACAAATCTTG